GTTGAGAGACCTTTATTTTTGAATTTTGGATCTTCTATATTGGGCCCACTGCCATCATATCACTTTGTTGACATGTCTTATTATGGGTACCCTGAATCTGGTTGCCAATTGGTTATTCTGTCCCAACAGGATTATACTGACAAGGTAGTCTTTGGATCCTCTCTTTTTTTGGGGGGGAGTTGTATGTGCTTTAGGATGTCCCCAATTTTGACACTTTTGCCTCTCATCTGAATACACAACTTCCCCATTTTTGGTCTCCTGTTTCTCATCCATTGTAACAAGCAGTGCCATTACCTCTATGCATATCCTCCTGTTTGTTTTCTTCCTTGTGTCTTATCAATAGTTCAGACCACTCCATGTTGAGTTCTGCTGGTGCTACTGTATTGGCTAGCTCTAACACGGTTTCCATTTCTATGAGAGCTTTTGGTATCACCTCCTCTTCCTTAGCCTTTGTTTCCCACACTCCTTCATCAGTCATACTCCAATGTGCATCATCCATCCATACATGCACTCCATCTTCACATGTGGCTTTTGTCCTGTCCCGTGTCTGAAGGTTGGGACTTTCCAGGCATTTAACTTCCTTGGTTTCCTGTCCAGTGTAAGAGGTATGCATAATGCTGTTGGTCTATATGCCTAGGTTATTATCCTTCCCTTCTTACTGTTCCTCTATTGCTGTACTTTTTCACTTGGTTTTATGACTGGGACCTATTGGTTTCCTTTGTTGCAGGTTATAGGGCGATTTTGTCTTTCACTTTTCGGTTTACCAAATTTGATTCTGTGTTCCAATCTCATGTACTATCTATGTTATTTCACTCATTTCCCATTGTTCATCCTCCCTACCCTACTTGTCTCTAGAATTAGATCCTCAGTGTTGTTCTTCATGATCTTACTAATCCTCCATTTGGACCTTTGTCTTGATGCTTATTATATTACTTTTCTTTACCATCCCTATTCATCATATTGTTGGTTTGTGGTCACTGTCTTTTCAAAGCATTTGTGGTCGGGGTTTTCTATGTCTTGTTCCATAGTTCTCGACCGTTCCTTGGTGCTCAAGACTTTGATTGCTGAGGAAAGTAATCCTGATTTCACACTTCATTCCTTTCCCTCCATCTCCCACTTTTAGGACCATTCTGATCCTGATGAACTATTTTGCCCAGTCAGGGTCCTTAGATGGTATATGTCACATACTGTGTCCTTCTGTGGTTCCCAGGTCCGTTTATTTCTTTATTGGAATACTACTTTTTTTTCCTGTGACTTTTCTCCCATTCCTTGTATGGGTTGGATTTACCAGTCACTTTGCCTGGCATACTCTTTCTTTTTTCTAGATATTTGCTGTCTTTTTCATGGTTTTCCCCCATATGATTGGCACCTGCCCCTTTTCATCTTTCCTGGGTGGTTTTGTAGACTACTACATTTGTTTTTATTTTTCTTTGTAATGTCCTTTTGCTACACATGTTTTGGATCCTGCTTTGTGGTGAGTGTTGCCTGACCAGATATACTTAGTCTTAAAATCTGCACTGTACATCCTATCTATCACATTGAGGCTCTTCCTACTGTGAACCTGATGAACAATTCCATATGCTGCCAGTTGTTCATTGATTGACTCCATCCAATTGTTATCTTTGCATCAATATAACAAATATTACATGAAACATTATAAAATATCACAGAATCATGTTACGCACACTGTATAGATTGGGTGTTCTGTAGGGCCATTCAGCTCATGGTCTATTGCTTCTTTAATATGTTTGTCCCACACCACACACTCATGGACTTACATGAGTAAAGCAGGCAGGGATTACTGCCTATCCGATATTCTGTGGCATTGAGACTCTTCTTACCATGGACCTCATGTATAATTTCAGATGCTGCCAGGTGTTAGTTGATTGATTTTGTCAATGTGATAGCTCTGCTTTTCGAAATAGGGTTTCATGTTCACCCATTACACTGTCTCTGGTGCTTCAGTTCTCTGGACTCGCCAATGCATTTCCCCCCATTTTTCTAACAGAGTATGGGAGTCCTTGCTGCTTCCCAGTTCCCAGGATGATGGATCATAGAGGCCCATCATCCTGAGTGAAGCACAATTCGACTCAGTTGAGAGTAGGGAGGTGGCATTCTGCTGGTTTTGATGGTGTGATTCCCTTCTAATAAATACTTACCTGCTCTTGCACTTACCACCCATCCTCCCCACTTCCAATGTGATTTGGTTGAAGTGGTTAAAAAGCGCATGATCAGAGAGGGCACTAGTTACGATATGGATAGTGTTGCACTCCTATTGGTGGAGCATTGCTGCATGATCATTTACATGTTCATATTCAGAAAGAAGTGGGAGTTGCAAGGCTAGTAGCGAGCAAAAAATTTGTGCTAATAGAGTGCAGTACTAGTCAAGAAAGTTTTTTGTGAAAAGAAGTAAGTATCTATTTGAAATACATTTTCAGTTTAACAAATGTTAACTTTTACCTTTCTGCTCTCTTTACCCATTCATGTTCATGCTCTGCATTGCTACACCAACAGTTTTACTGGAGACTATTACAATAACCTGTTCTTCATATTTCCCTGCTTTTATTTTCATGTTGCCCAGTTCACTTGGTTTTTTGTTGTTTTTTTTGTCTCTGGGATTTACTTCATTGGGATACCTTATTTTCCAGTGCTCCCATACCAAGAGGCTAACTATCATAGGGCTTGATCATCAGTTTTTTCTGAAAACACCACTCAGTTTGGTCTTACAGCAACTTGGCTCTTACAGTTTTTCCACCTGTGGACTCACTTTGCAGAAAACCCTTGGGCCACACAGTTTTTCTCTCTGGAGCTTTCTTTTTATTTCATGACACATACTGTCTGTTTTCAACTAAGTCCTGCAAGCTTTCACACAGAGAATGCACTTGTTAGGTCTGCATTTTCACCATTATATGAACATTTGACATATTTTAGCCCTGTCCTGAGGGGCATCATCTGCTATGATCTTCCTTCTCCTTCATGAGTTTTCTTGTTAGGGTTGGCAGATTAAACCCCGAAGTCAGTAGTGACTTCCATTCTGTACCTGATTCATTTTGGAGTCTTGACCACCTTGCTTCTTGGGTGGACTCAATCTTTCCCATTACATTACTGAAATATGAGCTTCTGGTTTCCAAGGCTCTCATGTGTTGTTTTTATAGTTTTTTTTGCCTTTCTCATAACCCTTCTTTCTCTGGAGTGTCCTATTGTGTCCCCGTCAGTGGAACATACCACTTTCTTCTTTCATTTTTGTATCTTCATCTCCATACCTTTTGCTGTTGTGGTGGTTCAAACATTTCCACTCAACTTTCTATACCGTCTGTACTTACATCTGTTCATGGTTGCCTCTTTAGCCAGGTATGGTGCAGTTCTGGAAATCATTTTCAATGTGTGGTCTTCTGCAGAGCAGTCTTTTTCATGTCAAGTTCTTTGATATGTGGGCAGTTCAATGTACCTGCCACTATCTTTTTTCACAGCTGTTTATACATCATTTTTTAATCTATTTCAATAATTATATTTTTGTCTCTCTTAAATTAACCAACAGGGAGTAACTTTCTCTTGGGCTCATGACAATAATGGTTGTTGGCCTTCTGTGTTCTGGTAACTTTGAATTTAATAGTGAATTGACTGTCTTACCAAAATTAAGTCATCCTGATGGAGTGTTGTGTAAATCTTCTGGATTTTTTCTTTTATTGATTCATTTGAGACTCTCTTCTATACTAAGCTTCCACTTTTCTATCACCAGTTCTAAACTTCATGACCCTGACATATTCCTTCTGAACCTATTAGTCTACCCTGTTTCTCTATTTTGTCTTCCTCTTCAACTTCTTCCCAGATTGTTTTTCATTCACAGCACCCCTTGCCAGATTCTTCTCATAGGCCATCTTTGGCCAGACCATTTATGATTTCTGTCTCTTCACCTCTACCTCATTTGTCTTTTTATGTCAGCTTCAGACATCCATCTTTCTTCATGGTGTTCCACACCTTCCCCTTTATGTGTGGCTTATTTCCAGTCTTTTGAAAGACAAACAAGTTTTTCATGCAGATTAGCCCTTTTTCTTGCTTGCTGCTGTTGGACATCCTCCCTTGTGATTTGTCAGTGTAAGTGGATGTTTTATTGATGTTGGTCCATTCACCATACTCTTCCTCCATGTCATCAAACTCATCTCTATTCATTTTATTACCTGGCTTTTCAAAGATAGTCTATCCACTGCTGTGATCACCAGTTATAGTGCAGCTTTGTCAATGACCTTCTTTCTTTTCCCTGGCTATTCTCCTTTGCTTTCTGTGGTTCTTACAGATCTCTTCTAAGCCTTCCTAAACAGTTCTCCTTTATGTCCTCCAGTTGAATCCTTGGCTATCTCTCTCTTGCACTCCATACCACACGAACAGATTGATTTTATTCCCAGACTATTCCTTCCTTCCCAAGTCTTGGGTTGTTCAGGAGAGTAATTTGATGTTTTCTGCATCATTCTTTCTTTCCTTCTATATTTTATCATTTACACCTTGATTGTCTGCTTTCTTATGTTTGGGCAACTCTATTATTATCTCACCTGCAATATTCAATTTTGAGGCAATCTGTCTTTTTTTTTTTGTCATGGGATATAATAGTTGTAATAATTGTAAACACTAATTTCATATAGCTATTGGTTAATTGTAATTTTGATGAATTGATAACTTTATGTGACATTAGTCAATGAAATTGATGCTAATGGGTAACTCTATTTGTAAATTATAAGATATTTTGAAATAGTTTTATCATAATTGGAAGTTATATTTATGAGACTTTTTGTAGTGACATAAAACTTGTTTTATCTTATCTAACGATAACTTTAGATGCTGTCTTTTTGTTATTTGTGGTATGCCTGTATTCCAGTTGCCTTTTTCATTCTCTTTTTCTGCTTCTATATTTGCATTTGTGCTGAAATTTTCTTTTGAGTTGTTTTCTTATGTAATTAATCAGCAATAGACTAATACAAAAACCTGACTGTCTGCTTCATTTTTAGAATGAAGAAGCTTGGAATGAACACTTACATGTATGCTCCTAAAGATGACTTTAAACACAGAGCTTACTGGCGTGAACTGTACACAGTGGAAGAAGCAGGTAAATCACAAGCTTTACTCATCTAAGAGTATTAGATTTGTTATTGAATTTTTTTTCAGTTGATAATGTAGCTTGCCAGCCTTTAATCAAACAAAATTAGCAAAATAATTATAGTTTAAAACCAAATTGTCTAAAATCTGTGATGAATCAATTAAACTGCAGATATTTTTTCCACATTCCTTGTAATTTGTCCATTTCAGTTTCAAGTCAGATTTGTGTAAAAATAGCATTTCAGGTCTGTCTTTTGTCTCCCACAAGTTAATGCATAAGAGGTATTTCTCTCAGTAACAGAACTTATCAGTTGGACTTTTAAAGTCTTATACAGCATATGTAAATAACATTTCAAAAAATGTTTTGTTTCTCATCATCCAGCCCAACTGAGGAGTTATGTTACTGAACGAAAGGGCTCTTGGAGTTGTGACTTGTGGAAGACAAAACATAGGTCTGAAATGCCATTTTTACATACATCTGATCTGGAATATAAAATGGACAAATTAAGATGGAAGTGGAAAAAACAACAACTACAATATATATATGATTTTTATTAAATATATTACCTGTATTGGTTTTATAATGCTTTGTCAGTTTTCAGCATTTAAACATGAACATAAATTATATTTTAACTTACAGATTTGTTTTCTTAGCAAAAAGAAAAGTAACACCATAATATAATTATGAGAATATACCATAAAACATGAGATAGAAAGTCTCCATGTACCTTTAATAAATAAGCTTTAAGACCATACTCCTCTAAAATTGGAAAAATGTGTTCTTGTTACATTTCTGCATACAAAGACAAGCATGTTTTTAAATATCTGATTTTAAGTTTTTGTACCCATAAAGTTAGGGTTTTTAACTAATAACATTTACTTACAAACTGTTAATATCAAGGATAGGCCAATATATGATTTCCAAATCATTTTCTAACAAGGAGCCAGTATTAATCAGTCTAAAGTTGTAGTTTGGTGAAATTCCTAAGGATTACAGGCTTCATAGGATTGTTCTTAATAAGATTCATTCACTACAATTCTAACTGGAACTTGAAATTAGTAATGGCTACCTGGTAAAAAGCCTGTAGATTCTAGTACTTAGCTAGTAACTATAAAGGAACACTGGCATTTTTTGCCAGTTGATAATTCAGGCATGGTTATGAATATTAAGACTAGTTTTAAAGAATGGTTAAATGATTAAAAAAACACCTGGCTGCAAGCACATAAGGTATGGGAAAAATCACATTACGATAATATGTGGTTCCCACATCTTGGGCAGAATGAAGTTCTCTAACTTTTCTCAGACCTTTCTCTGACCAAAATGTTATTTCTTGACTATTAGATCTATGCTTGTAATGTATAATTGAGCACTAATAATATGTGAAATTGCTAAATATTATTCATACATTGTAAATAAAGACAAGACAGGCTGTATGATAAGAGTCACAATCTGCTACAGAGTCATCTTGCAAAGTTTCAGTATGATTGGTCGCCATTCTTGAATTATTGGTACTTTATCAAAAGATACACAACAAAGACAGTTTAGCTTTTATGATAATGCATACCACTCACATTTTAAAATTTAAATCACAAAAATCTTATTACAGCATAAACAACACAAAAGATTTTAACATTTGTGATTATTATTTTACAATTTTTAATACACGGAAAGAACATGTTTACTGTTGTAAAATGGAATATTCTTTAACAAGTATACTTCTTATTTGCCAAATATTTGTTAAAGCAATATATTTTGATATTTGTATGTGCAAAAAAAATATACATATACGAGACTTTCACTTGCTAACCATACACTGCAATTAACTCACATTTCCTATATCTATAAAACAATTATACATGTTAACAAAATCATTCACTGATGTAGTGCACACTGTATTATTTTTGCACATGCTTTGAAACTGGGTGTATCAAGTTCATATACATGCAAAATATTGAAATCTTGGTATTAACATGACTATATATATTTATTAATTGTTTATGTTGTTCTTTCATGAGATTGCCAAATTATACATACAACTAAGTTGTAAATTTTAATTATACATATAGGACACTTCCTACACAGAATCAGACCTGCTGATAAAACATCCATAACATTAATAGTTGCATTATAATTTTACACTATCACATTGCTTAATCATGTTTGTAGAAGCTACAGTAACTAGCACAGACATTAATGTGACTGTATGCAAACATGGTTGTCACTGACAGTGATATTTCATTACAGTATTACACCACTCAAGTGTCAGGTTTTTCATTTTTTTGTTACATAATGTAGCTTATTGCATTAAACACATACTGGTACTAAATAAAAGTAACTCAAAGTACTCACATTATTTTTATTCTGATATAGTCCTTAGATTTAGATTCAATGACAAACACTAATACATCACTTGTACACAACCACACTAGCACTAATCAGTCTCCATGATAATTAATATCTCTATCTCAAGAGCATACTAAGGTCTGAAACACAGTATCGAAACAATACCAAAACTATTAATCTAATTATGCTAAGCTGCACATGCTCATCATTATCTTCACTTGTTATTCTTTCCTGTTCTTAGCATCTTGTTTGTTGCTTGACAAATAATAAATTCTTTGAATATGTTGCTCAGATGTCTGATGCATTCAGTTACTCACTGATTTGAGATAGTGTTTCTACAAAGATTTGTGGATAACAAATAGTGCCGTATTCTCAGAAACCATTAAACCTCCAGTATTGTTGGTTACTGTTAATGAAGCATTCTATATGCAGTGTTTTTTAATTTGAGTTTTTTTCTAAAACTTATTGTCTTTAAACTGATATTATATGTTGCCATCCATATTTTGCTTTATATGGGTTTTACTTTCCGGTCACTGATGATATCTTACCTGTCTCTTGGAGATATAACTGTGAGCATCCCTTGTACAAGCAGTAGTAAGCATCATGGCATGTACTAGGTTTAGGGCTTTTGGGTTGTAATAAAATGATCCTCCACAACCTAGTTTAGGAAGATGAGATGAAGCCTTAACCAGAGCCCTTACATTCCATTCAGGTGGGAACCTAGCTACTGGTTACATAATTCTGTTACAGCTTACTTCATGGTATGGAAAAAGACTGATGTAGACAAAACAATGTTTATACATAAAATACTGCTAATTGTGCCAGAATTAACTAGTATATGATTTTTTGACATTAATGATAATATATTTTTTCACCATCAGTGATCTAGAAGCATTACTGAATCACGTGAAAACACTAACATTTCCCAGTTTCCTTTATGCATGGGAACCATAAAAATCAATTAGTTTTTTTTTGATAGCTTGTTGTGCATCATTCTCATGCATCTCGCATTGGGATTTCTCGTGTGTAAAATACCAATTAAAAACAGCGAGCTCTTGAAGGGTTTCAGTTTTATGAATATCTTTATTTTTTCACTCAGTTTAGGAAATGAAAATATAACAAAAATATAGATCTAAAACTGTATAGTATATTTGAAAATATGAAATTAAAAATGCAGTACTTCCTAGAATTTAATATCAGCTTACTAGTTATATCCACTGAGGGCACAAAATAACTTTTTTAAGGAACTGGCAAACATAAGGCAATGTTCAAAACAGTTTTTAGACCTGTTTTTAGTCTTGGGGAACTTACTGGTGAACATATGTATTAATGACCTATTGTTCATTAAACTTCATGCCCTCCAGTGGCTCAGAGATAAGTCTGAAGCTTATAACATTAAACAGTTGGTTTCAATATCTGTGGTAGGCACAGCAAAGATAGCTCTTTGTGTAGATTTGAGCTTAATAACAAACAATTAAACTTCATGAAAACTAGACCTTTGGCTACAAAACATTGAAGTATTTAATACATTAATATCAATTTGAATAAACCATATTCTATCTAACAACAATCTTGAATTGTTCATTCATATAATAGATTATTAATAGTAATTTAATAATGTGGGTGACTAAACACATACTTTTTTTGATTATGAAATACTTTCAAACTATAAAAGATATATGTGAAAATCAATAATCACCTTTAAAATAATGTAGATAATGCACTTCTTTTCAAATTACTCACATTTTGTACATATAATCCAAGGTACAGTTCTTTTGAGCATATGAAGCTTCTGAGATTTTTTAAATGATAAAAACTTCTTGAACATTTTCAGAGCATCTAACCAATCTCATACAGTCTGCCATAGAAAATGGCATATCATTCTTCTATGCTCTTTCACCTGGGCTTGATATTACCTATTCAAACCAGAAAGAAGTTGCTTGCCTCAAAAGAAAATTAGAACAGGTGAGTAAAGCTAATCAGTCTTAACCCTATCATCACAGGTCAAAGGCCATGTTATCACATTTGTTGACATGCATTAATAATTTTATTAAACTACTATTTCATGAATTTATGTCAATAAGTTTGGAATCAAATTGAAGATTATAATTCAAATTTTAGTATTATAGATTAGTTAATTTCATAAATTAAAAGCAAATATTAAAATAAACACCTAAATATCAACTTTTCTGTGTTGTTTGGTATATTGAATGCAGCATTGGTTCAAATTAGATGTTTGTGATGTCTAAACACAAAGTCTGTAATTTCTTATGAATTAGGAACTCAAATTACCTATATTGACAAACTAGAATATAAAATAAGAACCTTGTCATGATATAAAAGACTGTTTAGTTTAGATATTATTGATTAATTAATTTTTGTGAGTGAATATTTTATTATTGTTTAGTTCTTGTTATAATAAGAGTTAAAAGCAGACGATTGTAGAAAGTTAAGTTTATAAGTCATTGATGTTGAGACTATCGAATGTCGCGTGCAAGACATTGACATCAAGAATAGAGATTTCTAGAAGACAGGCAGACAATTAAGTGATGAACATATAAATAGTATGAGACAAGCGAAAACAGTAGACAGACAATAGTAGAAAAGAGTAAAGTTATGGGCAAGAAAAGTTCAGCGTGAAGTTAACTATCATAGAAGTGACAGACCTAATGATTAACATATGCCTAACATTTAGTATGTTAGATTAAGACTAACAGTAGAAAAGGAGATAAGAATGATAATTTATTCCATCAAAGTGTGGTTCTAAAGTAATTGAAATAGCCTGAGTACACTTTGACAAAAGGAACAAAGGATATTTTGAAGAAAGATGACCAAACGATTACAGTAACTCGTGCCACAATTGTAAATGATTCACACACTGAATATTAGTACGATAGTAATAGAGAAGATAGTTTGGCTTGTCAACTGAAATTCTAAAGCAATTGAATAGGCAAAGTGGACTTTTGATAAGAAGAAGAGAACTATATATATATAGTGTTTATGACATGGCTATAATCTCTATAGTGTGAAGAATTTGTTATGGAAATGTTTTGATCATTCTTAAGTGTCAATGATGGTTCAGTAAATTTCGTTCAGGTGACTTTAGTCTTAAAAACTGTGATGGCAGGGGCCAACATGTTGGAATTGATATTGATGCTCTGAAGATGCTGTTGAGTCTTACCCAAGGCAACATACTCATAAAATGGCCCTGAAATTGCATGTCTCTCATGAAAC